TCATTACATTGCCAGCTGCCGGCTCCCACTCACTCGCCCGCCATGCTCACGCTCCACTATGCGCTGCTTCGGCGCAAACCAAGGACGGAGGAGCAGTCTCTACCTGATCTAGGTAGCCGCCTTCGTACCGCTTCTGTCTGCTGCCCCTCTTCGCAACGTCACAGCAGACAAACGACCACTGATGTCCAGAAGGCAGGCCGCACAGTGGGAAAAAAAATTCACCTCTGTGTGGGCCCGAACAGCACGCCGACATCTGTCGAAGGAAGAACTGAAGGAGCTCAGGAAGAAACTTTCTTGGCCGTCACAGACTGTTTCCTCGGTTTTCCATCGTGTCATCAGTGTGCTGTGCACGTGGGAGACACTGTCAGGCGATGGGAAGGAAGAAAACCCCCTAGCTGCGGTTCTGCGACTGCCCAACGGCTATTCGTAGCCTGATTTAGGTCCGCCGCAGGGACCTGGGAACTGTGTCGCTCTCGATCAGATCCCCGACGTGAAACAGTTTGCTCGATTAATATGCTGCACCTTCAGCAGCGATGGCGGAAGAGGACCCGCCCCTCTCCTTGCTCCACGCACCGTGACACGGCATCGCCGGCTGCAAGTAGAAGACAAAGCGAGCTGGCGGCGCCGTGGCAAGCAACCGAGTGCGAAATACAAAAGGAAAAAATGAGCCGACGTGGCAGTCGCCTCGACGACGATAAGATGCAATCCGACGGACCAGCGAACCGGCTGATCCACCGTGGCAGAGGCTGTCTCAAAGGTTTTAGGTTTTGCGTGTTGCGACCAGGAAGAGCGAGGCATCCGGCTCGCGGCGCATCCCTTCCTTCCCTCACTCACAGAGTCTCAAGGCTCGCGAAAGGCTCGCGAAAATAACTTACTTTTTCGGGTTTGCAGCTGCGCGCGCAAATACGGTTCCAGCGACTGGAGTAGCTCAGTTTGGTAGGCCCACAAAATGCTGAAACACCTGAGTTTGAATGTCAATCAAAATAAGACTTGTAAATTGTAATAACTCTGAATTTCGGCCCCGACCCACCCGCCTGCTCAGTTGGTACACCCACAAGCTGTTGAAATGCAGGGCTGAGTTCAAAATCCAACATAAGATCAGAACTCACCCACATAAGTTATTGTAACTCTGAATTCTCCTGGGGCTAAATATGGTTGTTCCAGCAAAAAGACCTCAGGGAGAACCCTAACGTGTTTTCTGTTTCCTTCTTTGTAGAAGTTCAAAGGTTCATTAGTGGCCCGTGAATTGGGTTAGAGAACTTCGGAGGGAAACCATCTCCAGCAGTTCACATAAGCCTAAGGGCCTAGGGTCTCCTTAGACACTCCTAAAAGAATCCTAAAATTTTTAGGACGAGTCCTAAAGGATTTTTAGGATTTCGTGCGGCGTCGTTACATGCAGTCCTAAAAATCGTCTTTTAGGATTCGTCCTAAAAGATCTCCCGCGGCCCGTTCTCATATTCGTATACGCAGCCGCGTCGCCGATGTCCGCCGGGTCCTGGCTGGTGTCCGTGGTACACACTGCGGAGGCCTTGGGCGGGCGAGGAGGGGTGGGTGAAAAGCGCGGTCACCCCGAACTTCAAAAATTCAAATTCGAATTTTCGCGGACGCAAGGCGGCAGGGGCGGAGGACGGCCGGGCGACGCGTCTGAAGTACAAAAGACGGCGCTGGCGAAGCGTTCGGCACGGGTATCCATCTTCCGACTCCACGCGAGTTGTGAGCAGCGGGGGCAACTTCCGGCAAGGCGCATCTTCACCTCCGCCGTGTGTGCTGTCCTGTAAACTCCGACGCACGCCATCTTCTGTTGCAGCGTACGTCAGCGGGCGCATCTACGGATCCGGCATGCGTGTCTCTCTTCACTTGGTTCAGCAGCGGGCGTGTCTTCAGCGGTTGTGGCAGGCGTCACGCTCTTCGGGGAGGAAGATTCCCAGAGATGGATCTTCGCGTCAGCGGGCACGGTCTGTGCGAAGAGGAGATCGACGCGGTCGCGATGGCGGTTACTGCCGTCGTCGTGAACACGATGGGCGGCATGTCGTCGTCCTCAAGCGACATGCTGACACAACTCTGGAAACGAAGAGCGTTGTTGCAGTGCATTGCCGAAGCGCCGGATTGCGTGGCCACGTGTGAGGCAGTCGTCCAATTGTGCGCCGCGTTGTCATCTGGCGTTTTCCCGCGCGGACCCCACGTTGGTGGATCAAACGACGGACTGACGGGACATGGGAGGATCTCCGCCTCTGTGATGACGGGACGGACGAGTATTACCGGCAGAAGTTGCGCATGTCGTTGGCCATATTTAGGCAGATCGTTGCCGCGTGCGGCGCGTACGTGGAGAAGAAGGTGACGCACTACAGGATGCCTTTGCCAGTGGAGCAGGTAATCGCTTTCGCATTGTACAGGTGGGCGTCAGGGGACTCCTCCGTTGCCCGCACCCGAGCCAACGGTCCTCAACGACCGAGGGCCAGGCCACGCTTTGCCCACCACGCTCCACCCCACCGGCCAATGGCTACCGGTGGGGGCCGTTGCCGTCGTCGACCGGCAGAAAACCTCCAATGCCCGCCCACCGACCCGACGGACCACTCTTGGACCACCACCTCCGTGTCGACAATGCCATTCTCGCGACGCGACGACTCCATGAAACGCGGGAATCCTAAATTTTTCAGTAGATCCGGGGCTATTGGAAAATTTAGGACGATTTGGCTGGGGAATCCTAAATCTTTTAGGACGAGTCCTAACGCCGTTTTCACATTTTCGATTCCCGCGTTCAATTTAGGATTGTGTGCAACCAAGACGCAATCCTAAAAACAATGGTTTTGCAGTCACACTGTGCTCGCCCACCCATGAAATCCACAATCGGTATGGCAAATGTCACGGCTTGAGGACTACGGAGTTGGGCTCTTTGTAAGCACCTGCAAAGGTGTTCACAATGTTTTTTTTCATTTTTTTTTTTTCGACTCCATGAGTTCCTACAAGAACTGCAGGCATCCGTCAACGATTTGTGCGGTCGTACGAGTGAGCAATTTTCACGAACAGCAACGCATTGGGGCATTATCTTTCCCGATTTGTCACCCTGTGTGACAGAGCAACACAACAAAATGGCAAACCCAAGGTAGCAAACACGACACAGTTTGCCATCTTGTTGCACACGTATGAGTTCGCCCTAAGTTGACAAAGCTACATTTCAACCACCAGTACTTGGCCCAGCTATCGGCCGCAGGCCTTCCCCGTTAACGTGCCGTGACCTGCAGGGGTCGGCCAAGGGAAGGTCCGGTAATTGCTGAATGGCCGGGCTCTGTGATTCCAGGCATGACACACACGGGGAAAAAAAGGGAATTCAGATGTAAAAAGTGAAAGAAAAAAATAAAAATAAAAACGGCGAAAAACAAAAAGACGAGCGAGAGGGAGGGGCGGACGGGGGGAGGGGGGAGGGGAAGAGAGAGAGAGAGAGGGAGAGAGAGAGAGAGAGAGAAAGATGAGACATGGGAAGATTCATTCCATTTTTCGACTTAGGAAACGAGAGAGAGAGAGAGAGAGAGGGGTTGCGAATTGTCGCCGCCCCCCCTTCTCTCTCTCTCTCTCTCTCTCTCTCTCTCTCTCTCTCTCTCTCTCTCTCTCTTCTTTTCATTCTAGACCGTTTGTTATTTTTTTAATGTTCTCGTACTTTTTTTTTTTTTTTTTTTTTTTTTTTTTATGTTCTTGTATTTGCTTTTTTTTTTCATTTGCCTCTTTTCGTTTGTGTTTCTCTCAACAGCAGCTCCAGGAATTGAACGCCTGGTACTCCGAGCCTCGACATGGATCCGCCTACCGGTCAGGCGAGACTCGGACTTGATAGCTGGGTCAAGTACTGTGGGTTCAAAGCGTTGCGAGCTAGCCTACCAGAGTGGACCGGGACCATTTGCCCAGTCAGGTAAAAAATAAGTTTATATATATATGTACATATACAGGGTGCCCGCCGTTGGGGATAGGCTGAACGTCCGAACGCATGGGAGCCCTTGGGGATGCGTTTGGTCGTTCGGATCGAAAGCAGGCCCAAAAAAAAAAAAAAAAACTCAGAAAACTGTAAAAAAATCACATGTTATGCAGAAAGATAAAACAAACAACATTTGCCTGAGCATTACATCCAAATTTCTTACCAAATTTAAAATAAAAATAAAATACAAAAAATAAATACTTGTAAAAAAAAATAAAAAAAGAAATTAGCTAGGCTACCAGCCGGGCCGCCCAGGTCCCCGGTGGTCAGCCCGTGCTAAGGTCCAGGGAAGGCCCCAGCAAAAAAAAAAAAAATCCGAAAAATCCTAAAAAAAACTATGCTATGCAGAAAAATAAACTGAACAACGTTTGCCCCAGGGTCACATCGGAATTCTTCACCAAATTTAGAATAAAAAATAAATTTTAAAATATTTATTTTATTTTTATTATTTTAATTTTTTTTGGCCCGGCCAGGCAAGTGACCCCGGGCCACTCTGGTAGCCTAGGAAATTAGAGAATTAAAATTAGTAAGTGTGCAAACCCATTTTCGACACCAACATCTTTGGTGATTTTTCATTTTTGTTTGGCATATCCAAATGCCCCAAAAATTTATACATATGTGTACTTCAGATAATAAAAAAATCATGAACTTTTTTTTGAAAAATAATAAAATTGTTTAGACCCCGAAATAAAGTGAAAACAAAAGTAAAAAGTGGAGAAGAAAAAAATTGTGAGTGGGCGAGCACGTTTTGACACCTTCATCTT